AGCGGATTCTGAATATAGGCTTTTGTGTGGCACCAATGAACCAAAAAAAAGAAAGGCTATTTTAATTTGGTCACTTATTGCCATGAGGTTTTATTTTTGCACACTGGTGAGCCAGCCCTACTGGTGTGTGCTCACGGGGCCCCAGAAGCCCAGCTGTGCCCCGGGCACGGGACAGATGGGAGCAGCTGGCTGCACACAGCCCGAACTTTTGTTTCCCGTGGGCTGAAGTCACCACGAATAAGCACATCAGAGTCGGTTGTTTGCAGCTAACATTATTACGATGTTTAAAGGTAACTCTAGAGAGAAGCCTGTGACAGCGTGAGAGACCTGGGTGAAGGGTGTGGAGACGTCTCACACACATTTCTATGTGAAGAGAAGTGTAGAGAAGGAAGGAATAAAGGGAGCAGACAGAGGGAGGACAGGAAGGGGAGGAGGGGGAAGGAGAGGAGGGAGAGATGAGGGGGGAGAGTTAGGGTTCGAAGGAGGGGGGGAGGGAGAGGGAAAGGGGGAGGAAGAGGAGGGGGGAGGGTTAGGGTTAGGAGGAGGAGGGGAGAGGAGAAAGGGGGAGGAGGGAGAGATGAGGGGAGAGAGAAGGGGGAAGAGGAAGAGGAGTAGGTGGAGGAGGGAGGTGGAAGGGAGGGGAGGAGGGGGGAGGGAGGAGGAGGGGAGCAGGGCAGGGGAGCAGTGAGCGTTCCAAGAGGTAAGGCAGGAGGGGTCCCTCTTGCTTTAATCTTCCCCTCCTCTGAAACCAGTGTCCCCCGGCCTGGATGAGCCCTTGGGTGGAGGGATTTTAGTGAGAGGGACTAGCAATTCTAGAACATAACAGATTTCATAACCATGCTTACATTTTGTCTTTCTTCCAGCAAGTTCAAGTGTACGAGGATGACATCACACCATCTCTACAACAGTCGGTGATGTCAGGTGAGAGATGTTCTTGAGGGTGGAGCCCCGGGAGCGGAGTCGGCGGCCGTGGCCCCGCAGGCCGCTGGGTGCCGGCGCCCCTCTGTGCTCTCCATCTGCCACAGCGGGCGCTGGGGCAGTGGTCGTCGCCGGACCAGCTGGACACAGGCCGGCCTTTGCTCTGTCGGGAGGCCCAGGAGGCATTGTCGGTTTGCTGACTTCTGGTTGATTGGATCAGCCCCACGGAGAGGACCTGACTCGCAATTCGTGGTTTCCGACTGGGGCTGGCTGGTCTGGAGGTAACACCTCCACTTCTTCACGACTTCACCCCTGCCCTCCCTGGGGTGGGGCGTGACGTGTCCCGCACAAGTGCCCGGGACCTCGGACAGACTCTGACGCGGTCGGAGCGCTCGCTCAGCGGAACAGAAGACGCCCCTGGGGATGAACTCTGATGCTCGCCAGCCGGCACCCTCGGGGTATTTGTTTTGTGTGCAAGCCAGTGACGGGTAGTTTCTCGACTGAGCAGTGTCGTGTCCAGGAAATGATGACCTTTCTGCTTAAATTGTCTTCTTCCTCTAATTATCCCAGAGGAGGCACCCTAGGAAAGGTAGAAGGCGTGGACAGGAACCCAAGCGGCTTCCTGATATTATAATTGCTAACAAACAATTCCTTATCGATATTGGTAACCAAGGCAGAATCCACGTTCGGCTCATGTCATTTTCAGAAGTGCCCAAGCTCTTAGGCTCCGCTTGCTGACGGACAGAGGCTCCGTGACGGTGTCCCTCATAGGGGCTCATAAACTTAAATGGACACTGGAGCCCCAGAAGACACACTTATCATGGAGTAAGAGTGTCCTCTCTGTTCCTGGTGAAGTTTAGAAACCACTGGTGTTTCCCCTGCTCACGTCATGGACACAAAGAACCTCTGAGCACCTGTGATCACACGTAGGAAGAAGGTCTTCCCTGCTCCTCGGATGGGGTCCCCAGGGACCCCAGTCTCCCATGCAGGTACTTCTCATGGAGAGAGGACGCTTCGCAGGGGGTGGGCGCCCAGATACACTAACCTGACAGAGGCTCGCCCCACGGGCCTGGGCGCTGCAGGCCAGGCCATGACACCAGGCCCGGGGCACATGGCCACCACACACTCAGGGCCCATCCCCGCAGACGACCAGCCTGAGTAGCTGACCACATTTCACTGTGTCGGGGAGAGAGGCCTTCAGAGCGTTCCGGAGCGAGAGGCCCAAGTGAGTGTGGGGCAGGCCCTGAGTGTACGTGAGCTCAGGAGACGGGGCCCGTGGGGGCAGCTGGCCCACTTCTCCAAGTGACCGTCCAAGGCCTGAGACATCTTCTTTGATTTGGAAATGGCGTGTGCGTGGCTTCTGGTCAGTTTGGTGTCCCTGAAGCAAGCTCGCCCCTTGAAGGACTCCCCCTGTCACTTTAGTGGGGCCTGTTTAATGGGCACATTCCACTCAGTCCCCAGGACTGTCTGCTTCTTGGGTTTTTGCTCTGGTCTCTGCCTTTCCACTTTAGACAATAAACCCTTTTGGTACAAGCTATGCCTTTCTCTATAAACTGTGCGGAAGTCGTGTTTGCTGCAGGTGAATGAATCACTCCGGGCGCCCAGGGGCCTCTGTGAGATCCTTACATCCACCTGCCTCCAGGTAGAACGCCCCCCAGATTAATGAGAATCTATTTATAAAGGCCTCTAGGTGCAGGGCGGCCAGAAAAAAGAGGATCTCAGTTAAATTTGAATTTCAGATAAATCATAAGTGATTTTGTGCTGTAAGTATGTCCCAAATGTTTCTTGGGACAAACTTAGGCTAAAACATGTCATAGTGTATCTTAAATTAAATTGGATTGGACGGCCTGCATTTTATTGACTAGATGTGGCCCCGGTTCTGAGGGCCTGCACTGCATGACGCAAGGCCTGGGACTGGGCCCTGAGCCAGGAGAGGGTCGGGGGAGGGGCGGGGGCACATGTGGCAGCCAGGCTCTCAGAGGCTGAGCGGCCTGACTCACAGCAACACAAGGTGAGATATTTTCGGCATCTGCCGCTGACCCAGGCTTAACTCGAGCTTCAGAAGCTTCTTCTCCCTGCAGCAGCTGATCTGTTTCTAGGGAGCGACTTTCCCATATCATGAGTCTGTATTACTTTTAAGGGACATTCTGCAGACTAAACGTAAGCCGTGCAGGACGCCATTCTGGCAAATAACTGAAGGCTCTGGACGAGGAGTGTCAGCTGTGCCGCGAAGCCCTGATCAAATGGCCTCTCCGGGGGAGCCGCTGTGCCAACCTGCAGGGCCTCCTGTGTGTCCAACATGGCAGCGCTAAGGGCGTTGCTCTTGGAATTTGGGGAAACATCGGTTCTTACCCTGTTCTGTAAAGAGCAACTTTAGAAGAGATGCACTGAGTGGCATTCATCAGCACGAGTGTCATATTTATTGAATGAAGATCTTTAATATGCTGATGATTCAATCCTCACAGCAAACTTACAAGGAAGGTAGGATTTCACAGATAAAACTGGGAATAGAGGTTCAGAAATGACCCCCAGAGGGGCGCTTGGGCAGCTCAGTTGGTTGAATGTCCGACTTCGGCTCAAGTCATGATCTCACAGTTTATGGGTTTGAGCCCCGCATCAGGCTCTGTACTGATAGCTCAGAGCCTGGAACCTGCTTCAGATTGTGTGTCTCTTTCTCTCTCTCTATCCCTCCCCCACTCACATTCCGTCTCTCTCTCTCTCAAAAATAAATAAACATTAAAAAAAGAAATGACCCAAGACACAGGGCTGATGGGTGGTGACAGCTCCAATCTAGAGTCTGGCAAAGGCTTTCCTGTCATAGGAAATGAGAGAAAGGGATGGAGACAGGGAGATGCACAGTGAGAGAGAGATGGAGACAGAGGGAGACAGAGACGCACAGAGAGACAGAGATAGGGAGATGCACAGAGAGACAGACAGTGGCAGATGGAGAAGGAACAGAAAAAAAGAGGAGCAAAGCGCAGTCCAGATCTCTGAGTTGCTCCTCAGTGAGGATGGTCCTCTGCTCTCGGTGGGAACCTGGAGCCGGGGGGTCAGAGCGGCCCCCCAGCACTCAGTCCCGGCCTTCCGTGGCAGGGATCCAGCTTCCAGACAGCCCTGCCCGCTCAAATCCTGAGCAGGTAAAGAGCTTCCAGGTGGCTTCTCTCTGGAGGGGCTCGGGGGACCCTCCCAGCCACCCTCGCTCTTGGAGCCCATGCTCTGCACCCTAAACACGTCTCAGAGGCTAGAGGCTGGGGGGCCCGCCTGCTTGCTCTTCCCTGTGCCTCGTCCTCACCACATGTCCCCAAGGGGGGGCTTGAGGCACACGGTCTAGGGGGGAAACACAGAGGCATGAGAAGCACTCTCTCCAGGACCCCTGGTTGTAAAATGCCAGCAGCTCTAGGCCTTCCCTGGCCTGTGAGGCCCCGGGCTGGGCTCACAGCCACGACAATGGCCCCTGCCCTCCGGAGGGATGGGGGGTGGGGAGGGGGCGCCCAGGGTCGCTTCCCTGGGTGATGGCTCCTTGGCTGTCGGGGGCCTCGTCTTACGTTCAGTCCCCAGGGCTCACCCAGTGCCGGCAGGCAGCAGGTGCCCGGTAACTGCCCACAGACTGATTGACCCTCACGGGAAGGACACAGAGGTAGTGGCCTCGGGCTCGCCTGTGCAAATGTGTAATCTCGCTACGGGCCGGCTGCCGTGTGGCCGTGTGTTGAGGGATTGCTTACGCTGGAGGGGTTACAGGGACAGTTCCTGCCTTTGAGGAAAGAGGCAGTCTCCCCGGGGCTCTGTCCCAGCTGTCAGTGCTCAGGGCAGGGCCGGTCTTCAGGCCTAAGAGGCTCTGCACCCCTGACCTCGGCACCCGGGAAGGGGAAGGGGACCTGCGGGCGGACTGGGTTTTCCGGAGCTGTCCCTTGGGCTGCTGGGTTTCCCTGGGGCGGGCGCCGGGCCATTCTGTGTCCTCCGCACATGTGCACCGATGGTTCGTTTTAAAGGATGAGTTTAAGCCACATTTCAATATTTCTGAGATTCACTCAAGGGAAGGCTGTGACATATTAGTAAAAAGCTAAAAAACTTGATACAAAATATTTTCAAAGAAATGCATTTTACTATTTTAAGAATAGAAGAACCAAGTTGGAGAAAACTGTAAGAACACCGATGTGGTCCTGGGAGTGTGCACTTTAGCCAACACCGTCTGCGCCGCGGGGTCTGGCCGCCCCTTGGGACTGCGAGGCCAGCCTTGCCGGGAGATGTGCAAGAGCGGTGAACCCGGCTCGCGGGGCTCCAGCCCCTGGGCTGCAGGGCAGGCCGCTGCCACCCCGCCTGGGCTGGACGGGCCCTCGTCCCCGCCGGCCCCTCCAGCCTGGTTACAGACGCGTTCTCCTCGGTTCTGAGCACTGCGTGCACCTCACAGAGAAGGCTGTTCTTCCTTCAAGTCCCAGCCACCGCGCCTCCTCCAGGAAGACTTCTCTGCCCACCTTGCCTGTCTGGGCAGTGCTCTGGCATGGCCATCGGAACATGTGTCATTAACATGGCGGTGACTTTGGATGGTGTCTTGTGTAGTCTGCGCCCCTTGGGGACTCGCATAGCTTCTCCACCTCAGACCCAGTTCCTGGTACATGTTAGGGGCTTACTGTATGGAAATTCAATAAATTTAGAAGATGAAAACTACTAAATCAGTATTCATATCCTGTTTTTCCTGTATCAGATTTCCAAAATCCGTGGCTGCCGTTGTGTCCAACAAATCAGTACGTGGCTTTGCAGACTTGCTCCGTCCTGTCCAGTCCCCTGCGTCCAGGGGCCTGCAAGCCGCTTCACACGAGGCTTCTTTCCCAAGAAGCATTATCCCAGCTGCTGGCTGAAGGCTCGCTCCACCTGGCTCACAGTGGTACCTGTCTTCATTTCAAATGACAGGCGGATCCCCGCGGCTTCTCAAGGGTAATCACAGGGCTGCCGGCTTGCCCTTGGACACGTACGCTCACGGCTGGAGACCCAGCTAGACAGCTAGCACGGCCGCATGGTCACCTGGTTTCCTTACGTAAGAATTCAGAGGCAGCAAACAGGTGAGATTATACTTTGATTCCCTTGGAAATTTCAACCAAGAAGAATTTTCTAAATATAATTTTTTAAAGCTCACTTATTTATTTTGAGAGAGAGAGAGAGAGAGAAAGCAGGGGCAAGGGATGGGTAGAGAGGGAGGGGGAGAGACAGAACCCCAAGCAGGCTCTGTGGGGCTTGAACTAAAGAACCGTGAGACCATGACCTGAGTCAAAACTAAGTCGGATACTTATCTGACGGAGCCGCCCAGGAGCCTCAACCGCGAAGACTTTACAACCTGTCTTCGGGCCCAGGTATTAGAGGGCAGGGTCGCACAGAGAACCTGAACCCCTGGTCCCTAACTGTATTCACAGTTCACAAGGCTACCACGCGTGTAGATTTGAACTTGACATTTACCCAGAGCCTACATGATGGGCACACGATGCAGGAGTGTATAGTACTTTCTTTGTGAATTGCTTTGTCAACCCCAAGAAAAAGTGTTTACATTTTGGTGGATTTTAGGTTTAGCTGATTTTGTTTCTGTCACTGGGTCGGGGTTCTGGACTTACAAATTTTTTTCCCTGCCTGTTTTCCCTGCCTCCCTGCCTCCCCTGCACCCCACTATGACCCAGTGTGCTGTGGGACAGGCTGGTGTGCCCTGGGCACAGGTGTGGGTGACAAGCGGTCTCCTGGCTGAGGGGACGCATGCTGAGTTCCAGCAGGGTGTCACACACCTGGGTGTGAACTGAGGCAGGGGCCGCTCTGCAGAATCCAGAGCCTGAGGGCCATCCTGAGAGTCGCTGCACAGGCATGTCCTCTAGGCTCGCGACGAGATTTCAGCCTTGTCCTAACCTTTACCCCGAGAGGCCCGCACTACCGTTGAATGTGCCCTGGAAGTGGGAAATCGCCGGAAAACAGGGTGAAGGAAGCCCGGGCCATCCTTACCGGTCCCCGGCTGGCCCGACTTTGCAAACCTGTTTTTTAGTCCAACAGAAATCTTTGAACACAGTCCAAGAAGGGATAATCCCAGAGTTCCCGGCCGGACAATTTCCCTGACTGACTGTCGGCAAGGCCGACACCGTCCTTCTGTGTGTTTACCCAGCGCGCCTTGTGCTGCGGCCGCAGCTCGTTCCCAGCCGCGCACCTGGGCCTGCAGACACAGGCCTCGCGTGAGTCAGCCTAGGGTCACCGAGGGGTGATTTCTGTGGAAATTCTGAGGCAGATGCTGAACCTGATCGATGCAGCTGATTAATGACTCAGACGCCAGCGTCGCCGCGGCCGGCCAAGGCCCGCGGGCACGTGTTTGTGCAGTTGGTCTCATCCCCCAGGAGGGCGGGCGGCAGCTCTGGCCCGGGGTGGGTTCCCGTGGCTCTGCCGTGGGTGGCTGTGAGAACCTGTCGCTTTCCTTATCAACAGCGTCTCTGAAACGTGTCTCCCAAGAAAGAAGTGTGAGGACAGAGGAGATAAAGGTGCTCAGGGAAGAGGGCGGAGAAGCCACTTACCCCAGGTCGTCCCGCAGGAAACATGCCCTTGACATCCGTGGAATTCAGCTTCATGCCGCGACTTCCGCTTTCCTAGGGCCTCAGGGTCAGAAGGCCTAACGGGAGCCAAGTGCAAAGGCCGCCTCGAGGAAGTGCCGTCACGTGGGACAATCACAGGAGTGGTTGCTGGAGACAGAGGGCGTGACCTGCTGTGCGGCCTGGCTCTCCTCTCAGGCCGGGGCCTTTCCCACCCGGGAGACTCTGACCACCATGTACGTGGCCCAGCCCTGGAGACACGTGTCTCCTTCAGAAGGAGCGCCCCTCCCCCAGTCACCAGAGCAGCTGACATCTGTCAAGGCCACCCAGCTTTGGGCCAGCACGTGGCAGCCGCCAAGAGTAGCCAGGGGTACAGTGTGCTTGTGGAGGACGTTGCAGTTTACGGGTGGCTCTGACCCACACGTGTAGGCAGCGGTGCAGTCTCCGGGGGGCACCGTAGGGACGCCTCAGGGCTTCCCCGGGGCAGAGAGAGACAGGGACTCTGACATGGTTCTTCTGGGCCTGCGGCTGCCCTGGCTTCCGGAAGTGTGAGTCCCTGATGAGATTTTCATACGCTCACTCACATATGTTCTTAGCAGGGACCAGAGTCACAGGATTTTTTGGGTTTTCTTGGATGTGGCTGAAATGGAAAGTGTGTTGATCCCACAGAATGCTCCTGGGCCAGGGGTTCCTGCCTGTGTGGACAGCAGCGGGGTCCCCAAAGCCGTTGTAAAACAGACCTTCTCCCAGACATGCGTCTTGCACACAAGGGTCAGACCTGGAGAGGCACAACGCCTCATGTTCCCCCCAGATACTTCCCCGCTCTCACTTCCATCATCTTGTTACCCATCTTCCACAGGAGACAAGTCCACTTCCTGTGGGGCAGGAAGCCAAGGGAGGGATGTAAAACCAGGACCTGCCCCCGAGAGCCCACGGCTCCTCTGCAGGAAGGCGCTGGCAGCTGGCACGGTGAGGCGTGAGGCGTGCGAGACATGGCGTTCGGTAACTGTATTCGCCATCGAAGAGCGATCGTTGGTGACAGTTGGGCAAACACCCGACTCTTCGCAGGTGAGGCCCGCACGTTCAAAGGGCTGCCCTTGGGGGGCTCTGGACTGAGGCAGCAAACACCCCGTGTCTTCTTTTCTTTCCCTTTTTTGCCTTAGGCTTCCAAGCTATCCTGTCCTTTCACTGACTGTGGGGACAGGGCTTTGTTTGGGAGACACATGGTCTACTGGGGGTGGCAGAGCACAGGCTCCATTGTCGTGGCAGGAATCAGGAGGTTTCCTTAATGAAAAAATATCATACACAGAAGTGAAAGCACAGGGGTCTCATGGAAGCTAAAGGCTTTCTTCCAGTGAAGTGGGTTTGCACATGGTCTTGAGATGTTCGCCCTCTGTGCCTGTTTCTCCATTTCAACACCGGCTTTGTGAAATAATTTCCTCTCATAGCCCTTGGAATGCACTGAGGCTGAGGGAGGCCGCTCCTACGAGCAGGGCCCAGGATGGCAAGGTTGGGCCGCGGAGGCGCAGCCCGAGACCCCGCCGGGCCTGCCCCCCGCGGCTGGAGCGGGCCCTGGGGTCCAGGCAACCCCGTCTCTGAGTCTGTGGAATTACCACTCCTTCAACTTTGGCTTTCAAAGTAAAGTGTGTCCACGAGGAACTTAAGTAAATAAAAATGATTTTTTCTTCAGATAAATTGTAACAACCTTAAGGAAAATGAAACATCTCTAGGGGCTGCAGGCCAGGCTGTGGAGCGGCTGGTTTTCCAGGTGCCGCGAGACCCCCGCACCTGCCTGACGGGTCCTCACTCTCTGTGCTGGAGTTTGCTGGAGCCGCCAAGGGCACTCCTCCGTGGACGGCTCGTAGGAGTGCAGCCACGAAGGCAGAAGCCACTCCATCACACAGATGGTCTCAGAAAAACAAAGATTAACAGTTTTCCTCAGTAAAACCCGTTATCAGCAACTCCTCAAAGTAAAAAGCAAAGGGAAAGAGCAGTTCCCAAACCGAGAATGCAGGCATCAGTACCTTTCTGCCACGACACAGGCGTCTCCCAGTGACCTGTGCCCACGTCCACTGAGTCCTCCATCCAGGGTGGGGCCCTGTGAGTACCCGGCTCTCCAGGGAGGCTGTAAACAGTGACATTGTGGCCTCTGCCTCAGTTTCCCCACTTAGTTGCCTCTTCAAGACCTACCTGATAACATCCAGGATTAGATCACTCCCAATTTAATGTAAGATTGTCATTCAGATGAGAAATGGCACTGGAGTCAGAGGTGTTGATTTCGGTCTGGGTTTGGGCTTGGTCTATATTTCTCTAAGCCCCATCTTTGAAGGGGGTGGTCGACTCCCCACCCTAGGCAGAAGGAGAGGGACTGCATCCCAGGGCCTGGGGTGAGGTGTGAGCTTGCTCTAATCTGTTAGCATGACACAGAGTGGCCCACCTAATACTAGCAAAGAGGGATTTTAAGTCTATCCTGTCTGCTCTGGGCATCTCTTCTCCCCAGCTCCCCAGCCTCATGCCCGTCTCCCTCCGATGGACGGGAAGCCTGGGCACCTGAGAAGCTGGTGCTGCTGGTCTGTGCTGGCCTGATTTTGAAAACTGACTGCTGGTGGCCAGAGCAGGGCAAGATGCTGGGGTCAGGACCAATTACAGACCCCTCCCCATCCCACCTACGATCCTTTCCCCTCACCCCCATCTCCTCTTCTTCCCCTCGTGGGGGGGGGGCTAGAGAAAGGAGAGGAACATCTGTGCAATTACAGATAAGAAGGAGTGACAACATGGGAGGAGGAGGAGGTGTGGGGTGGGGAGATCCTCCACTCTAGGCCCAACCCCCACCTAAACATAAGAGGGGACAGTGCGAGTGTGTGTGTGTCTGGGCTGTGGGGGTGGGGCTTGAAGGGTCTTGGGATATGGGAGTGCTGCCAGAGAACTGAACCCCAGAGGAGTTGAGACTCCCCCAGGCTGCAGGTGAGACCCCCCCCAGGCTGCAGGTGAGACTCCCCCCAGGCTGCAGGTGAGACCCCCCCCAGGCTGCAGGTGAGACTCCCCCCAGGCTGCAGGTGAGAC